CGAACCTGTTCGTCAGATGATCCTACATCACGTGACCACCTGTCATGGGACTGCTTGTCTCGTGAGGCATTGTCACGTGGCACCCCGCATCATGTGACCCCTGTCACATAAACCCACGCCATGTGGGCGCACTCCGTGTAACTTCTGTCGTGTGACTGGATATCACGTGCCCCTATACCATGTGACACCGTATCTTGTGTCTGTGCCTTTGATCCAAATGTCACGTGAGCTCCTGCCACGTGACCCCGTGTCACGTGACTTCGGTTCACGTGACCCTTGTGACATGACTGCACCCCTGTCCTGCGCCTTCCCCTCCCTCTCCCCTTCCAGCCTGGAAGCGTTGGAAACGCAGGTATGTCCTGCGTACTGTACGAAGCAGATCGCAAGTTATCTTGTATTATTCTATTTTGGTCGGTCGCGGGGCTTGAACTCTGGGCCTGGGCGCTGCCCCTCAGCTCTTCAGCTCAAGGCCATCGCTTTACCGCTGGAGCCACAGCACCACCTGCGGTTTTCTGGTGGTTTATTGGAGATAAGAGTCTCAGGTACTTTGGTGCCCTGGCTGGTTTTCAGTGGCGATCCTCAGATCTCAGCCTCCTGAGTAGCTAGGGTTACAGGCGGGAGCCACCAGCGCCTGTCAGGAGTAGACTGCATTGAGTATACTTTTTTTCTTCTTCTCTTTCTCCTATTGTAACAGGGTTAAATATCGACACTCAATGAGGTATAGGTCTCTGCTTTTGAATCTAGGTTTCTTTATATATGTGTAACTATATGTATATGTACATATTTATCTATGTATTGATGAATAAATATAAGTAATGTAAATATATAACCATATAGCAATATAAAAGCATACATATCTTTGAAGTACTGGACTTTAAACTCAAGGCTTTGCTTTCTGGATAGGTGCTCTACCACCGTCATACCTCCTGTTAGGTTCGCTCAGGAGAAATGGTTCTTCAATATCCCCACTGCCATAGTCGATGGGAGTTAGGCAAGTCTGTGTCTGACAATGGGGAGAGGGGATGGGAGAAACAGCAAGAATATCCATGCTTCCTTTTCCTTAAGAGAATTTTTTTAACAGCCTAGACCAGAGAAACCGGAGGAAGAGTGGGAGTTAATTGAGGCGTCAAAGAAACAATCTCACAAAAGAAATGCTGCCCTTGGAGCAGGCTGGCTAGCAAGTGGTGAGGGTCAGGATTTACGAAGAACAGAAGTTACAAGTATTAAAGGACTATGCAGAGTCAGCTGCTAACACGTTTAAAATAAAACATCCTTTATCTGGATAACAAATACCCCTGCTTGAGAAAGGAGGTGGGGTTGAGGTTCTTTTATTGGGAACAACAGGAAGGACTTAACCAGAGGAGAGCTAATGACCCATTTCTATACTCTTCAGACATCACAGCTGGCTGGCAGAAAATCATCTGTGGAGGTGAAGGTTTAAAATGACCAAAGAGAAAAATGAGGAGGAAAAAGGAGCTTCATCTTCAAAGAAAGCTTCTAAAGATGCTGATAGATGCTTGGAACCTGGGCTTACATATGTAATCCTAGCTACTCAGAAGGCTGAGATCTGAGGATCTCACTTTGAAGCCAGGTCAGGCAACAAAGGCCATGAGAATCTTATCTCCAATTAACCACCAAACGCTGGAAGTACAGCTGTGATGTAAATGGTACAGTGCCAGGCTTGAGCAAGAAAATATAAAGGGAAGCTGGGCTGATGGCTCACATCTGTAATCCTAGTGGCTCCCAGCCTGCTGGGAGAATACAGGGACATTAGAAAGCACTCTAACAGTCTCATAGAAAGGTCCCTTCTTTTAGCTTTAGTTTTCTACAAGTAGTTAACCAATTTTGCCAGCACCATTTACTGAAGAGGCGGTCTTTTTCCATTCTATTTTTTTTCTTCCATTTTAATTTTTTAGCTCCCTTATTGAAGATTAGATGGCTATAGGTCTTTAGGTTCATTTCTGGGTTTTCAACTCTATTCCATTGGTCCTGGGGTCTGTTCTTGTGCCAGTACCAAGCTGTTTTAATTACTATGGCTTTATAGTAGAGTTTGAAATTTGGTATTGATATTCCTCCAGCACTGTTCTTTCTGTTAAGGATCGTTTTTGCTATTCAGAGTATTTTATTTTTCCATATGAATTTTTGGATTGCCTCTTCTATTTCCTTGATGAATGAGTTGGAATACTGATAGGTATCGCATTAAATTTGTAGATAGCCTTGGGAAGTGTTGCCATTTTTACGATGTTGATCTTTCCAATCCAGGAGCATGGGAGTTTTTGCCACTTTCTAAGATCTGTTTTGATTTCCTTTTTCAGGTTTTTAAAGTTTTCATCATAGAGGTCCTTCACTTCTTTGGTTAAGTTAATTCCTAGGTATTTTTTTTTGTGGGGCTATTCCAAATGGAGTTGCTTTCCTGATTACGGCCACACTTTTCTTATTGTTGACATACAGAAAAGCCATTGATTTTGGGGGGTTAATTTTATACCCTGCTACTTTGCCAAAGTTTTGAATCACCTTGAGTAATTTGGGAGTGGAGTCCATGGGATTCTTTAAATACAAGATCATGTCATCTGCAAAGAGGGCAAGTTTTACTTCTTCTTTCCCTATTTGGATCCCCTTTATGTTTGCATCTTGTCTTATTGCTGTAGCTAGGCATTCTAATACT